TTGTTTGGTATATATTTGGTGAAATAAACCAAACTATAAAATATTCTTGTCACTTAGAATATTAAGAGTTAAATTATGATTTAGCCTAATCTGTAGCTCTTTTTATTTGAAGAGTTATTCCTGAAAATTTGAGATTTAATCATATTTGAGTTGATTAGGAGAGCATGCTGTTTAGATAAAGTTAGGGTCAATCTTTTTAAGAACATTTCAAATGTGATTCATCACTCCAGTTTCTTCTTTTATAATTTCATATTTTCATATATTTTAACTTTTAATTCCCTGAAATCAGGACATCAACACATTCATGTTGCACCCACAAAGAGAATTTGCTTTACACAAATAATTCTGGGTGAGTTTATTGGATGTAAGATTAACTCTCCATCTCTAGTATCAGGAACAGCATTACTTAAGTTTAAATGTAATGTATCTAAGGGTTTATCAAATTTATAGCAAATTCTAAGCTCATTCTTTAATACCCTTTAGTTCTTTGAAATACGCCTTTTAAAAATTCCTTTCTGTGCTCACTGCCCCTCTTCTGGTTCAAGCCTCAAGTCTGCAACTGACTCCTAATTGACATACCCATTTTAAGTTTTTCATTCTGTTGAATGTAAAATTAAATCCAAATGCCCTAAAGAAACATATCATGATTTGGCTCCATTCTAAGCTTCCATTATTGTTTTTTATACACTTGCCTCCCTTGAAATACCTTTATTTTACTCTGCTTATTTAAATTTTATACATCTTTCAAAGCTTAGATCAAAACCTGTTCCCTACAGAGTTCTTCCCAAATTCCTTATCAGGAATATACTATACCTTCTTACATCTTATAGCACCTAAAATGTTGTTGTCTTGGGATTGTAGTTATTTCTGTGCATATCTTATCCTCTTTACTGAATTACACACTACTTGAGAGTAGGAATTATTTGTTTAGGTTGTCATTTCCAACATGTAAAACAGTTATGTATATATAATGGGGTGAAGGTGAAGCAAAGTTTATGTTCCAGCTCCACCAAATAATACATGTCACAGGTTATTTTGACTTCACTTAATCCAAATTTCCTAACTTTCACAAAGTAGGAAATTCCACTTGCCATATATGTTTGTCTTAAGGTGTAAAGGGATAATGTGCAATTTAGTTTGACACATAGAAGACCCTCAATTAATATTCTTTCATTTTTCCTAGCTCATTTCAAAATAACAGTTTGAAACTAAGCTCAATATCAATAAAGCTAAATGATGTCCAAAGACACTGAGGGCCTGAACTTGGTAGGGTTATGTGGAAAGAAAAGGAAGAGGTAAATAGGAAAGTATGTTATGTTAGAATTGACATGAATCAGTGATTTGCTGAGAATGACTGAGATTTTGAGCCTAAGAATATTTTGGCATTTGATAAAGAAAAATGGACCAAGGCCTTGTATAGGGAAATGAGTCAAAGACAGTAAATCTAGGTAATACTATTCTAAAGGAAAAGTTATTAGGAGTACCAGTAATTTCATGGACTTAATGGAACTGATCTGGAACACCAGTAATGAAAGGTTGATTAAAACAGCCTTGACATTCACCAACTTGAGTGTCAGTTTCAAACTCTCTTAATAGTGGGGAAACCTGAAATTATGGGTTGACATAGGAGATAAATCAGTTGATTTTTAGGAATTCTTAAACCTCTAAATTACTGATTCCCTACGTTTTACAGAAACATAGTACTTCTGTAATATTATTGCCACCAACAGGTAACCTATCTGGATATTTGGAGTATGTTCCCTGATAATGATCCTCAAGAGGGCTTACTGCTATAGTCCTTGGACAGTCTGACTGGTGCCTTGACCAGAAGGTGGGTGGGCCTGGTTTCTGGGTCCTCAAGATTGGGCCTGAAGCCTGAATCCAGTGCAGAAGACCTGTTGATCAGGTCATTAGGGATAGGCCTAGAGCCAGAGTCTACAAGGGCAGGCCTGCATCTTGCACCTGCACAGGCTAGCCTGAAGCCTAGGCCAATAGAGGTTGATGTGGTACTGGGTTGGGCCTTAATCCTAAATCTGCAAGGGCTGTCCTAGTTCTGGGTTAGGCCTGGAGCAAATAGGCCTCAGTCCAAGGAGTTCAGCCTGGCATCAGGTTTTAATGGAGTGGGCCTGGGCCTTGGGTTTTTTGGAGCATGCCTGAATCCTAGGTCCTTTGGAGCTTGGGGCCACAGCAACCAGTCTAGAGCTTCTAGGTTTGTCTGGTGCTGGAGCCAGCATGGAGCCTGCTTCTGCAGAGTCTCATCTGGAGCCTAAGACAATGGGTACTTGACTGGTCCCCAGAGACTGGGGTTGCTGATGCTGGTCTGAAGCCTAAATATACAGGTGCTGATTTACAGGCTTGGTTCAAAAGGCTTAACACAGCTCCTGGAGCTTCAGTGGCCAGTCTAGGATCTGAGTACACAGGGGTGGTCCTGGAACCCAGGTCGGTCGGGGTTAGTTCAGCACTGGGGTCAAGTGGGCCAAACCTGGACTTTGATCTGATAGAGGATGCTGCTGTGGGGACCAGGCTGGAGGGTGAGGGTGGAACTACAGGATCCTTCCAGGCACTGGAAAGGCTAGAAGGCTCTGTCCAGTGTTACAAAGGTGGAGCCTATATTCACAGGAGCAGGCTTGGCAGTTGGGTCCATGTGGGCTGGCTTGATTACTAAGGCTATAGGAGGCATCCTGATTCTAAGCTGGTCTGAAGCTTGGGGCTGTGGAGGTTAGTCTGGTTATGGGGACAGTACAGAGTCCAGGATCCCTGAGGCTGGGTTGGCATTGTATCAGATAGAGACAGTCTGTTGCACAGACCTGTACTGTGATGGTGGGATCTGAACTGGCACTGGAGCTGGCCTGGAAGCTCAGTCTGCAGGCTTTGGGGACCTACTTAGTGCTTTGGTGCTGGGTTTTGCCAGAGTGAGCCCAGTGTTAGGGTTCAAGGTAAAGTCTAGTTCTCACTTCCCTATGCTTCCCTTGCAAATAAGTATCTCTCTTCATCTTGTACCACCTGGGATTTGGGGATGTGGCACAGGTAATGTAAAACTATCCTTCCTATACTCTTCTGTGGAGAGCAGATTATGAGAAGCTTTTGAGAACTTGACATTAACACAGTTGTGCTCAATGTTCTACAGGCTGAGTTTGGCACAGCCCCAGCCGCAGAAGACAGCGAGAGGCGAAATGCAGCACAGCTGCTTTTCCTAAATTGTTTATGCTCAGATAAGTAGGAAAGGCAGGTTTCTCTTGTTACAATGTCATGCCCCTCCCTGAGAACTGTTGCTCCACCTCCTTGTTTACCGCTGGATATAAAAGACTCGCTGAAGGAGGATGCGGTAGTTTTTGATGAGGAATTCTGATTGGCTGCTTGCGAGACTGCTGCTGAATGACACAGCTGGCTGCTGCTGCTGCTGCTGAGTTATGCTAGAGATTAGAGGAAACATGGGACAGTGCAAGTCTGATGGGACAGTGCAAGTCTGAGCACCGAGACTTTAAGAGAGAACATGGGACAGTGCAAGTCTGAGGGCCAAGACTCTAAGAGAGATTATGCTAAAGAAAACATGGGACAGAGCGAATCTAAGGAAAGAGACTTTAAAGAATAGAAAAGAAGCGAGATTTTAAAGAAAGACTTTAGAAGTAAGGTATTAAAGATTGAGAAAAGAAGCAAAGTAAAAGAGGAGAATAATAGAGAAAAAGAAGCAAAGAGGCTATTGTGTGTCTCCATCCGAGCACCCAGCACACCTGTCCCCAACTTTATTCATGTCTGTTTTCTATCCTTTGTCCTTTCTGCATCTCCAGTCACCCCTAGTTAGGTCAGGAAGCCAGGAGCTCAAGAAAGCTCGAGAGACTCTTCAGTGTGTCTTAGTTCTGTGATACACTCAGGTAATATAATCTCCATCCTGGCTTCTTGTGATAAAAGTATTTTTGTGTGTGGATAGTTATTTGAATCAAGGTTTCTGAGGGAGAGGTGAGAACTGGAGAGTCCTTTTTCACAGTCTTGCTTACATCCACCCTAATAATTTTTAATTAGAAAGTACTACATGCTTTTTGCAAAAATTAAAATAAGACAATTGTACAGATCATAAAATAGTAAATTTTCTCCTCTTGTTCCTTTCCTTGCCCCCTTTTACAAAGCTAACTATGTGTAAATTTAGTTTACATCATTCCATATTTTTCTATGCATGTTTTTAATTTTTATTGATGTTAGGAATTGGATATGTTATGCTTGTTCTACAACTTTCTATTTATTTAATATACCATTACCATCTCTCCATGTGTGGTACCAGCTTATCATTGAAATATCAAATAATAAGCAAAATTTTGATGTTTTGTGATTCATACTCTATAGATAAGCTAATAAACTTTGGCAAAATGTATTAAATCTATTAAGGACTTTATATGGAAGTGTGGACCTCAAGTGTAAATATTTAGCATGTGTTATTTATTACAGTGAGAAACAGTATAGTATAAATTTCTAGATCTTAGTACATGACCATTACTTTATATATGTGGTGGCCTTATGTGAGATTTGTGTGGCCAAATGAATGTCCCACTGTAAAATGTTGGAAGATGTTTACTCATTATAAAAAAAGATGATTTGTGGTTCCATGTGATTTTTAGATAACATTGGTGCCATCTCTCTAGATAAGTGACAGTCTTAAAATAATGTATTTCTTAGGGTTTTCTGCTGTAAAACACAAAATATCAAGGCTGGGTTTTAAAATGCTGCCTTCATTATTGTTTCTCCAACCCCCCCCATGAAGTTCATAAGGTTACTGGTGCCCTCATAACTTTAGACTATCATCACCTAGACTTAGCATACTAAATAACTCCTGCCATGTTAGACATTAGAAGCATACATAATATGTACATGTTAAATTGCATCCTTGAGAGAAAAGCTCACAAGCATGAAAACTTGAAGTAATATATGAAATAATGTATAGTTGAGGAATGAAAGTGGTACCTAAAAAGATTCATTAAGATCATAGATTGTCTTCATTTTATTCATAGATGGCACTTGGAATGAACAGGAAAAAGCCGAAGTTTTTACAGATAGCTTTTGTCAAGTTTGTGGAGTGGTATTACAGTTTGAATCACAAAGGATTTCCCATTACAAGGTTGGTTAAAAACAATGGGAATAGGCTCTGAAGCAATTTTTTAAATATAGCAAGTAAACTTCATATAAACCAACTTGTTTGATTATTATAAGAACTTGAAATAGTTGCTTTTATTTTCCTTTCATAGATGAGAATACTGGCTCAGAGAAGGACCATAACATATGACCTTAAGTTTGGGGAATTCAGGTTAAACTCAGCTGTATTGACTTTAAAGCTCATTTTCTTTTCTTCATATTATTGTCTCCCTTTGTATTTATCCTTGTAGAAAATATAAGAGAGTAATTATAAAACTTGAATAGGAAATTAATATCAATCAAAGGATATTGTAGAACTCCGTCTTCTTTTACAAGACTTGCACTTGACTTGGCTTCATGTTTTTATGCTCTAAACCATGGAACATTAGAGCTAAAAAAAGTCTTTAATATTATCTTACTCTCAGTTTATATATTAGAAAACTGAGACCCGAAATGAGTTTTCATAGTTATCATTGGCATGACTAAGTTTAAAAATGATTTCTTCTGGTTTCATATTCAGTGTTTTTTCATTTGGTACTTCTTCACATTCTACATCATATAATGAGCTATTGGGTTTCTTTCATATTTGCTATCTAGATTACCAAAAGTACTACATACATTTATTTCAAACAAATGTAATGCCAGTTCTATTTTGTAAACATTTTATCTAACTTTGTCCATTGCTCATCTTATTGATAATTGTATTTTTAATCCTTATCTTGATTAAGATTACATTACATTAAAAACTTGTGCTGAATGTATATTAAGAAGAGTTAGGTTAAAGTCTTAATCCACAATTTGCTAATTTTGTAACCATGGGCATGTGACTTTACCTCTATGAGCATGTTTCTTGAACCTGAAAAATCAGAGAAATAAACATCTCTTTCACTATACTTGTAAGAATTAAGTAAAATGTGTGAGAGTCCCAAGCACATTCTCAAATGCCTTAGTTCAGAGTTAGAATAAGTAAAGAGAGACAGATAATTGGTGAGTTCTGTGATAACTGATCAGAACCATTTAAAATTTAAAACCAGCTTTTTATTAGATTATAAAGTACTATTAGGTATACAAAATATACAAAACTTAAACATCAATCATAATTATATCACTTGCAATTACTGTTTAATTTCTCTTTTGCATATATGATTTCAACATATATTCTGAACACACAAAATATGTATTTTTATAAAAAAGAATCATGCATTATACTGTACTTATTTTTTCAAATAAGAGAATATTCTGAATGTTTTGTCAAATCATTACATCTTTTTCTACAATAATTTAAGTGCTATAGAGTATTATGTAGGTGTTGTATCAGATTTTAAAATTTAAATTTCAGTACCATCTGCATTTAGGTGCTTAAGCTTATTGATCACATGATAAAGTGAGAGCACACAAGGGAGGTATGAGGATAGGTAAGACACCTAAAAAACTAGATAGCATTTGTTGCTCTCAACGCAGAGAAACTAAAGCAGATACTTTAAAGCAACTGAGGCCAATAGGAGAAGGGGACCAGGAACTAGAGAAAAGGTTATTTCAAGAAGAATTAACTTAGAAGGTAACACACATGTACAGGAAATCAATGCGAGTCAACTCCCTGTATAGCTATCCTTATCTCAACTAGCAAAAACCCTTGGTCCTTCCTATTATTGCTTATACTCTCTCTTCAACAAAATTAGAGATAAGGGCAAAATAGTTTCTGCCGTGCAACGAGGGGTAAGGGAGGGAGCGGGGAGGCGGGTAAGGGAGGGACACGGGGGAAGGGGGGAGAAATGACCCAAACATTGTATGCACATATGAATAAAATAAAAATTAAAAAAAATAAATCATCAAATCAAAATGATCATGACTTTCCATATATTTGAAAACATACAATATAGATGTTCTATTTTAAAAGGTGATTTTTTTCTCTTTATTATGCTGCTTGGTTATACTGTCAGACTATAGTATTTATTATACATGAAAGTACGACAGTGCTGTAGAAGTTTTGAATTTTGAAGTTGCATTTACTAATATTTCTCTTTATACTTATGCTATGTGTTTAGGAAACCATTCTATATATTTTTGTCTTGTAGATACTTCTCTCTGATATCTTCTAAAACTTTTCAAAGATTTACCTCATACATTAAAGTGTTTAATCCTTCTGGCATTGCTTTTTGTGTATGGAAGGTGATAATATTTTTTCATATGTATACCCAGTTTGTCCCAGAATTATTTATTGTACAGTCCATTCTTCCCCACTGATTTGTAGTGGCACCTCTATTATATGCTAATTTCCATACTTATACTTGTCTATTTTGAGGCTATTTTTCTGATCTACTGTATTGGTCTATATTCCTATCTCTAACAATTTTACCTTTAAATTATAGCTTTATAACTCACAGTATCTGCAAGGGAAATTTATTCTTTTATAATAGCAAAATAAGCAAGCAAATTGCCTCAATAGGGGACTGGAATGGGTAGCATGTAGAGTGGAATATAAAATAGTATATAATGTGAATGAGCTAGAGCTATATGTATCAATATGCACAAATCTTAGAAATATATTGAGTTTTCAAAGGAAATTTGAAAAAGGATATGTTTCTAATGAATCAATTTTCATAATGTCTTTTTCTTGAATAAACAAGTCTTATTATATATTTTTCAGAGTGAAAAACATGCTCAAAATGTTAGGTTTTATTTTCAAATGCATGGGGAGCAAAATGAAGTGCCTGGTAAGAAAATGAAAATGCATATTGGGAGTTTTCAGGTGAGTGGTCTATGTTGAATGTTGTAATTCTGAACTTTGAATTTTTTAATCTCTCCAACAAGATTGTTCTTATATTTCAGGTACAGAATAGTGGAGTAGTGGACAGAAATAAATTTTGTGATCTCTGCAGCATGATTTTTAGCTCTTCAGTTGTTTCTCAGTCTCATTATGTGGGGAACATCCATGCTCAAAAACTGAAACAATTCATGGAGGAACATGATCAGATGTCTCCATCAGGATTTAAGCCAGAGATGGGTAAGGTCCTATTCTCTATCTTAGAAACAGAATGTACCTTTTCTGTCTGACCCTACCACCCATTTAGGTTGAGCAAACTTGATATAAATAACTTCATTATTCTTCTGTTCAGTTAATATCTTTCTGTGTCTCATTTTGTGCTCAGATACTTTCTTTTTTGTGGAGATTATGAATGCGAGCTGAATTTTAAGAAATGTTTTGACCATTCCTTTTCAGTTTACTAAATCAAAATAAGAGCAAGTGATTTGCAATACTGCTAGAACAGTAAGAAACTAGAGACCTTTCAGTTTCTAATGAAATAATAAAATATTAGCTGTTTGTTATTTCTTCCCCTTTGCATAGTTTTTTGCTATACCCCTTTATAAAACATTATACTGTGTGTTCAGATCAGTGTCTTTACCCTAACATAGTTATGGATGCAGTGTTTCCTAACTATATAACTGTAGCCAAAAATATAAGTTACTGAATCTCCTTTTATCCTGATAGCACATTCCTTTCTTCTTATGAATATAAGAAAGTACCACTAGCATCATCAATCAACAGTTACTTTTATTCTGATACAGACATTACAAACCTAGACAGAATGGATGCCTTATTATTTTTTTAAAAAGTCAACAGCTGGATACCAGTGGCTCAGCCAGTAATCCTAGTTTCTTGGAAGGAAGAGATCAAGAGGATCGCAATTTGAGGCTAGCCCAGGCAAATAGTTCACAAGACCCTATCTCAAAAATACCCAACACAAAAAAGTGGCTGGCCAAGTAACTGAAGTGGTAGAACACCTGCCTAGCAACAACGAGGCCCTGAGTTCAAACCCAGTACTGCCAAAAAAAAAAAAAAAAACCACCACCACCACCAAAACCCCATCAACTTAGAAGTTGGTGTCATCTGATTTACTCTCATTAATTTCAAAGAATCATCCTGAGATGGCTCTCATGCTTTAATTTATTCCTCAAATAAGTAATGCCTGGTGCAGAACATTCCTTCCTTTCCATGACTTTATTGGACAAATTTGGTGATAGACTAGTATTTAAATTTCCGTTCTCACAGAAGGGAATTCTCTTTTATTAGAATACCTTTATCAGGTAGCCCTGTGCTGACAAAGTCCAAAGATAGAGGTTTTTTAGAGAATTCTAAATTTCTCTAATACTTTATCATGGATGTAGCTCTAACATCTGAACACATGTTGATCACTTCTCATTACAACTATTTCAGCAGGTGTACCTATTGCCACTTCTCCACAGTCAACCTTCCTGAAGCCTCCTGCTGTCAAGCCTCCTCAAGGTGGGATTAAATATAACATTATTCCTTTCTTCAATGGTACTTTGGATTTGAATAATCCAAACAAATATTGCAAGCTCTGTCCTGCTTCCTTTAATAGTCCAGTAATTGCCCAACACCTTTATGTTGGAACAAATACAAAAGAAAGGAAGCTAGGAAGACATTTGTAGACAAGATAAGAAAGAAACCTCTTCCAGCAAAATCAAATGCAAATGGTAAACAGAAAAAATTGTTCTAAACTCTTCCATGATAAATTTGTATTTTATAAAGCATACTAGTTTATTTATATACCATTTTAGTCTTATTGACTAAAATTTTAGACAAGTACAGACTTTCAAGCCATGTGGCTTGATTTTCTAGAAATGAGACCCAGAATGTTTGGAAGACATTTATTGTTTTCTAAATCAAATACAGGTATTCACATGGTTCAATGTTATCTTAGGAACATAAGAACATATTTTAAATTGGTCTCCTTTGGTGATATCATTCATTCACTAAGTATTGTTTAAATGTCTCTTGCAAGCACCACTTATATTCTTAGGAATATAAATGAGAACATACCACTCTCCCTGAGGAAGCAAGTATGTAAACTAAGTGGGCTGATATTACTGCATTGCAAGAGACCATAGTCATATATTTACATGTTTCCATGATTTTGATTGATAGAAGTGGGAAGGAGAAAATGTGAACAAAAGGTTTGGAACTTAGAAAGAATGGAAATAATTCAGGCACAATATAGAGACTGATCCTGACTGAAATGATCCACCTGCTCTGCTAACCATTTTTTTTTCATTTTCCCCCACAGGCACACTCTCACTACTAGTGTTTTTTATTCCACTTTGATATTCTCTCTTTTACTCACTTTTTTCCTCAACTCACTGTTATTTTTCATTTCTTTTCTTACCGGACTTTTCTGCTTCATGTGAAGATGTTCATTACTCCCACCTTCTTGAAGTTCTATTCTTTGTCATACTTAACTTCTCATGGTCTGTTTCTTCTCCTGTGGTTCTGTTTCTTATCTGTTTTTGGTATGGGCTCTTTTTTCATTCATTACCTAGATCGAAAGTACTCTCAGCATACCATTCTTGACCTTACTCCAGAAACATGATTCAATCTATTCCCATGGTTTTATTTCTCATGTGTATTCTAATTATCTTTCTGTCAAATTTTATACTCATGTGTCTAAATGGCAGAGACTGTTTCACCTGGACACTTCAAAGACATTCCAAGTCCATTCATCCAAGGTAGAAAACTTCAATTGTCTATGAACTCCTCAGCACCTTCTTCACTTCTTATTTCTAATGAAGCACAAGTTATGATTGCTTTACCTGCTGATTATTACTATTCCATTACCTCCTATCCTATTTTTCCCACACTAGTTTATGTCCTTCACATCTTTCTAGAGTTTTATTACTCAGACTATGAGTCGTGGATCAGTATCATTTGTATCACCTGGGAGCTTGTTACTAAAAAAGAAAAGAATCTCAAGCCCCTTTACAGACCTACTGGATAATAATTACCATTTTTAACAAGACTCCTAGATGATTTATACTTAATAAATTTTGAGAAATATTAACCTAGTCTACTGTCACAACCTCTAAATACTTTCCCTACCTCCAGTTTTGTCTCCCAAAATCCACCCTCAATTCAACAACCAGAATGTTTCACTTAAAATACAAATATTTCCATGACATTCACATTCTTTAAAAACCTTCATTGTTTCTCCATCTTTTAAGGATGAAAAATTTAAGCTCCATAACTCTCTACCTTCTTATCCCTGCCTTCCTTCTCTAGGCTTGTCCTCTATTATTTCTTGCCATAATCTATCAAGTCCAGTACCTGCAAACTGTTCATGGTTTCCAGAAAAACATTACCTTATTTCTTGTCTCTATGTCCTTATTCATGCTATATATTGTCTATAACATTCCCATGACTCTGTTCTCACTAACTCCTACTCATTCTTAAACATGTTGCTGCTGTGTGGAAGCCTTTTTATTTTTTCAAGGCTAACCTTTTGTGCTTCCTTAACCTGCATATCTAATTATCTCTCCATGTTTTATTTTCTCCCATTATAATGTAAGGCCTTTGAGGAAAGGGACTTCATATAATTTATCTTTATTTCCAATGCTAGAAATAAAAACTGATGCAGAAGTAGCCCTACCTCAACAGAGATTAGTTTAATATATGAATCAGTGAACTATTAATCATTTTTTGTGGAGTGCTCATCCTTTGTTTGTACTATTTCAGTTTCATACTTAACATGGTTCAGCATATCCCAAAAAGGTCCATAGAAATAGATGGTTTAACTAGGATTTTAAGGAATGTTGATTTAGGTAAATGTAGAAATAGAAGTGATAGGGCTTCTGAAAGTAGGAGATGCTTGAAGAAATGACAAACTCCCACTTGTTAGAGTATTTTTCCTATTTCTGAGCTGAGGGTATCTGAAATAAATGGCTTCTAGTGTAATGGCATTCAGTAAAATTTAACTGAATCAACTATATAAAGTATTTACACACATCTCAACTAAAGGAAGGGTCATTTTAGCACTCTGAAGTTTCAAGCTTAATAGAATGGGAAAAGAATGATTTTGCTGAAATTCTCACCTAATGATGGAATAGAGAGATGATCATCATTATAATTTACCCCAGCCATTGAAGTCATTTTACAGTAACCTCTGAAGCTACAGCTCGAAGTACAGATTTTTCCTGTCTTGACTATTGCTTCAATAGCAGTAAATATTTGAGTATTAAAAAAATAGCTAAAGAATTTAAATTAGCTGGTGAGGATTTCAAAGAACAGTGAAAGCAGAATCCTATATTATAAGTGAACAAATGGTAAGACAAAAACAATTTAAACTATGCCATATTAACTATTTCACTTGTTGCTCATTCTCACCTTTCTGTCTCTACATTCTTCTCTATCTGCTATTGCCTATATGTGTTTCTCCCATATCTAATTTTTTTCCCTTTTTTTTCATTATTCTCACTGCATTCTTTATGTTCCTTATCCAACCCAGGTCTTATTAGCACAGGAATGGCTACCATAATAACATGCAACTAAAGTATGTATGCATTTTTTATTTATTGTATTTTTTCATCTTACTAGTTTCTAACCCCATTGTTGAACTAAGATGCCTCACCTTCATCTATAACTCAATATATCTAAAACTAAATTAGTAATCTTCTCCAAAGCCAACTTGAATTTGCCAGTTTTTTTGTCTACTATGTTCACCTCATATTTGTGGTCTCTTGCTTCTAGTCTTGCTTAAATTCATCCTTTTTATTGTAGCCAAAGGAGATACCCTTCTAAAACACACAATTGACCAACCATGTCATTTACTGTTTAAACCATTGAAGATTTCCTAATGCAGAAAAAAAAGTCCAGGGTCCTTAGCATAACATATAAGTCCCTCTTTGATCTGACCCCTTTTACCTCTCCCATCTTGTCCCCTTATATTTTACTCTACAGCAATTCCAGGTTTTTAAGAAAAGTTTTGCTGAACACATCTATGCTTTTTCTTATTATTTCCATGTACCTACAATGTTCTTCTGAGATCCTTTCATCAACTTAACAATTTTTTCATTTTTCCAAGTTTAGGTAAGACACCATCTCTTCCAGTACCTTTCTTTTTTTTTCTTTTATTCATATGTGCATACCATGTTTGTGTCATTTCTCTCCCCTTCTCCCCACCCCCTCCTTCGCCCCCCTACCTCCGTAGCTACCAGGAAGAAACTATTTTGCTTTTATCTCTGATTTTGTTGAAGAGAAAGTATAAGCAATAATAGTAAGGACCAAGGGGTTTTGCTAGTTGAGATAAGAACAGCTATACAAGAAGTTGACTTGCATTGCTTTCCTGTACATGTGTGTTACCTAAATTAATTCTTCTCAAACTAACCTTTTCCCTAGTTCTTGGTACCCTTCTCCTATTGGTCTCTGTCACTTTAAAGTTTCTGCTTTAGTTTCTCTGCATTGAGGGCAACAATGCTATCTAGTTTTTTGGGTGTCTTACCTATCCTCATACCTCCCTTGTGTGCTCTCGCTTTATCATGTGATCAAAGTCCAATCCCCTTGTTGTGTTTACCCTTGATCTAATGTCCCCGTATAAGGGAGAACATACAATTTTTGGTCTTTTGGACCAAGCTAACCTCTCTCAGAATGATGTTCTCCAGTTCCATCCATTTACCAGTGAATGACAACATTTTGTTCTTCTTCATGGCTGCATAAAATTCCATTGTGTATAAATACCATATTTTCATAATCCATTCGTCATTAGTGAAGCATCTTGGCTGTTTCCATAACTTGGCTATTGTGAATACCACTGCAATAAGCATGGGTGTGCAGGTGCCTCTGGAGTAACCTGTGTCTCATTCTTTTGGGTATATCCCCAAGAGTGGTATTGCTGGATCATATGGTAGATCTGTTTAGATTTTTAAGAAGCCTCCAAATTTTTTTCCAGAGTGGTTGTACTAGTTTGCATTCCCACCAGCAGTGTAAAAGGGTTCCTTTTCCCCCCACATCCTCACCAACACCTGTTGTTAGTGGTGTTGCTAATGATGGCTATTCTAACAGGGGTAAGGTGGAATCTTAGTGTGATTTTAATTTTCATTTCCTTTATGGCTAGAGATGGTGAGCATTTTTCCATGTGTTTTTTGGCCATTTGAATTTCTTCTTTTGAGAAAGTTCTGTTTAGTTCATTTGCCCATTTCTTTATTGGTTCAATAATTTTGGAAGAATTCAGTTTTTTGAGTTCCTATATATTCTGCTTATCAGTCCTTTGTCTGATGTGTAGCTGGCAAATATTTTCTCTCACTTTGTGGGTGTTCTCTTCAGTTTAGAGACCATTTCTTTTGTTGAGCAGAAGCTTTTAGTTTTATGAGTCCCATTTATCTATGCTATCTCTTAGTTGCTCAGCTGCTGGGGTTTCCATTGAGAAAGTCTTGCCTGTACCTACTTAGTTCCAAGTATTTCTACTCTTTCTGTACAACTTTAGAGTTTGGGTCTGATATTAAGATCCTCGATCCATTTTGAGTTAATACTGGTATAGGGTGATAAACATGGATCTAGTTTTCAGTTTTTGCAGACTGCTAACCAGTTTTCCCAGCAGTTTTGTTGAAGAGGCTGTCTTTTTCCATCGTATATTTTTAGCACCTTTGTCAAAGACAAGTTGGTTATACTTGTGTGGCTTCATATCTGGGTCCTCTATTCTGTTCCACTTGTCTCCATGTCTGTTTTTGTGCCAGTACCATGCTGTTTTTATTGCTATTGCTTTGTAATATAGTTTGAAGTCGGGTATCGTGATACCTCCAGAGTTGTTCTTTTTACTGAGT